TCTCCACATCAGAAACCACATCCTTGTTTACATGGGGGGGTAGCAATGAGTCACTTGTTCCCATGATGCAGTGTGCAGCAGCCCGCCAAAATATTTTTGAGCAATATCATTTTTGACTGTTGCTTTGACACTGCTACCTGATGAGGGGATGGTACTAGAATGAGCTTAGGTGAATGAGACAGCTCTAATGAGACCAGGTGTCTAATCCTTGAGAGACAACACATCTAATAGCTCCTGTTTCCTCTCTCTTCCACTGTACAGAAAGTTCCAGAACATCACTGGCATAGGGTGGCTTTGAGGATAGGTTTCCTTCAGTAACACCATGTTAATGTCATGCGATGTGCCATTCTCCTGGCTATTCCTGCTTTCCTGCCTGGCTAAATTCTGAATCTGTGCAGTCTTGTGGCAGGCCAGGTTTCCCCTGCCCCCCTGAGCATTGTACAAGGAGTCCTCATTTAGCAACTGCCTTGTTTAGCAACCGTTCACAGTTACAACAATGATGAAAAAGTAACTTTACAGACTTTGCAGGTCTGCAAATCAAAGGAAAATTGAAATAAGGTCTCAGTCACAGTCACTTAGTGACTGGCTTGCTTAACAACCAACTTGCTGCTCCCAGTTGTCGCTAAATGAGGACCACCAGTAGCTCCCTATGTATGTATTCATTTACTTTAATTTTGATGCCACCCAACTCCCAAGTGACACTCTGCAGTTCACAATGTAAACCAGTCAATAACATAAATTTAAAAAAAAAAATACAAAGGGAGAACATTTGGTGCTGGAAAGCTGGCTAGTCCATCAATTGACTTCTCAGATGAAGCTACCTTAAGTAACTAGGGCAGAATGCAGGGAGCTGTTGTCCCATGCTCCTCTGAAAACGGGTCGGAGATGACTTAAATTTAGTTTGCAGTTGTGTTTGTGGAAGAAGTGTAACTTTTATTTAAACCTCTTCAAAAGAACCCGCCCAAGAATAACAAGAACCTGCTGCTTTACTCTCATTGATGTGCCTTTCAAATGAGGGTGGGATGGGGGGGGTTTGTTGCTGTTTGCTCCAGATATACCCCATGAGGATGTTGTGGTTCCTGACAGCTTCAGAGGAGTTGCACAAAGAGTCTTGTTTATGCCTGAAGCAATGGCAGATCTGCTAGGTGGTTGTGAAGGCAGGAAGAGAAGCTAATAGGGAAGGCAGAAGGCATAGTGCAGAAAATGGGAGGGATTGCTGGCTTACAAGGATTTAGGTAGAGGCAGGAAGCAGGCATGGTGGAACCTGATGCCATTAAGGAAGGGGTCCATAGGTTTTATCCTAGAAAGTCGGTCATGCAGTTTTTTCTGCTTTTGAAAATTTGCTTCCTCCGCTCCCCTGGTTCTTCCCCTGCCATGCCAGCTCCACTGAATGGAAAGATGCAAAATTCTCCCTCACCACTGCTACAGCAGTTTACGAGCTCTAACACACTGTATTGTCACCTAAGCTTTGCTTTCCACCAAGTTTAGACTGTTGCACTAATCCTCCCACAGTCATTGATCAGAGTTGTTAATGAGAGTTGTAATTAAACACATCTGGAAAAAGTCTGCAGCAAAGTAGTGCCTGTGTGGTTGAGGGTATCTCCTTACTACAGGTAGTCTTCAACTTACAACCATTGCTTAGCAACCGTTCAGAGTTACAACACACCACTTCCCCCAGGGATATTTACCACCCAGATTTGAAGTTCTGGTGTCTACATACACACACACACACACACACACACACACACACACACACACACAAACACACAGATAGATGATCATATTTTGGTGCTCAGCAACCAACCCACATTTATAGCTGTTTGCAGTGTCATGGGACTGCAATTTCCAGCAAAACAAACATACAAACACCCAACATTGCAGTCAGTGGGTTCACTTCGCCACCATCACATTTACTTTAATGACTGCAGTGATTCTCTTCACCGCCACAGAAAAGGTTGTAAAATCAGGTACAAACAGATGGTGGCCCACTTAATGACTGGCACAACTTATACAACTGTAACTCCTGCCTCAATTGCAATTGTTAAGTCAAGGATACCTGTAGTTCCTTCTGTCCCCTGTAGGGAATGAGTGGGTGGTCTGCAAAGAGTGCAAGAGACTCCATTTTACAGTTTGCCCAAGGGCCCTGCGCCAAGATTGCCCCTCTGAAATGAGCTTCAAGACATAAAAGTTTTCAAGCCCAACTTTTTTTTTTCTTTTGCAAAACTATAAACATAAAATTATTTTTTTATTTGAAGGCCCTCGTGGTCTCTCTTCTCACCTCTTCGGCCCATCTCACAACTGACTGAAGAACAAGACCGTATTGCCACCATTTGCACCAACAATTGTAGGGTATGATCCAAAAGGACATATAGCTCAACAAAGAAATCCCTCACACTGATTTCGCTGTGTTTAATTGGATTCTCAAGGAATTCCTCTCTGTTTGGGATCCCATTTCCCATTTTCTTTGGATTTGTGCTTTGATAAGAACAGAACTTGGAATCTTTTTTTTCCCAAAACAGTCTGAATGAGATCGACTTTCACAAATCTAGAGCTACTGATTAAATTAAGTTAATTCAATAATTTAATTAAATTCTGTTATGTCAGTTGCAGCAGGATAAGGAAGCAGAAACTGTTTAAACAACTCAAAATAGGAAGAAGTGTTAGCACTTCTCTGTAAATGCTTCTTTGATACACTATGGTGCAGTCAACCTTATTTATTTTCCAGAAATATTCCTTTGCCTGCCTCTCATTCTGCGTGATCCTCCTGAACTTTGCATCAGTAAGCTTTTTCCTCACTTGTCTCTGGAATTATCTCCATCTAACCTGCAGAGGCTTCCATTTTAAGATGGGAAAGCTGCTTTGTCTTGCTTTTCGTTGTCTTTTCAGCACCTCTTATCAGCTTCATTACGGTTTCATTTGTTCCTTCATTGTGGTTTTAGTTGATGAAGAATGGAACCAGAGCTTTCAGGTTTTGATTGCTAGATTACTCAGTGAAAGATGTAGTTTGACTTATTTTTGAACTGCACGTAGAAGGGTAAAGTTATGGCAAAAGGGGGAAACTAATTTAGTACTAGAAGAAAGAGGAAACAAATATTTTTCAATTTAATGGATGTCCCTGATCAAATGTTTTTTAACTGATAAAACATATAACAAAGATGTGGTGCAGATGGTACTGATGGAGTAAAATTGCATACTATAAAGACAAACCCCTAATTCCATGTTTAACTGCCATGAGAAGATTTGAATCTTGATGGAAGTTGTAGAAGTTGATCAACCAAATCCTTCAAAATGAGACATGGGATTGGTAGTACTGCCTTCAAGAAAGTATTGAATTGTAGAAGCCAAATAATGATTGCTGACTTTGCATTTCAACTTAAGAGAAGGAGAGAAGCCAATGTCTCTTATGGCATCTCTTACTTCCTCCTCCTTTGATTTGCTGTACTGCTAAACAACTTGTATTTAGTTTGCTGATGACACAACAGTGATTGGTCACATTCGAGACAACGATGAACCCGCATACAGACAACTTATACAACTTGCCTCGTGGTGTGACAGGAACAATCTGGAACTGAACACACTCAAAACCATAGAAATAGTGATAGACTTTAGAAGAAACCCTCCCATACTACTACCTCTTACAATACTAGACAACACCGTATCAACAGTAGAGACCTTCACATTTCTAAGTTCTACTATATCACATGACCTAAAATGGACACCTAACATCAAAAACGTCATCAAAAAAGCACAACAAAGAATGTTCTTTCTGCGCCAACTCAGAAAGCTCAAACTGCTGAAGGAGCTGCTGATACAGTTCTACAGAGGAACGATTGAGTCTGTCATCTGCACCTCTATAACCGTCTGGTTTGGTTCTGCAACCCAACAGGATAGACACAGACTTCAGAGAGTAATTAGGACTGCAGAAAAAAACAACTACTACCAACCTGCCTTCAATCGAGGATCTGTATACTGCACAAGTCAAAAAGAGGGCTGTGAAAATATTTACAGACCCCTCACATCCCGGACAGAAACTGTTTCAACTCCTTCCCTCAAAACAACACTATAGAGCACTGCACACGGAACAACTGGATACAAGGATAGTTTTTTCCCGAAAGCCATCACTCTACTAAACAAATAATTCCCTCAACCCTGTTCAACTATTACAAAGTCTGCACTACTATTACTGTTAAATCTTGTCATCACTCCTTATCTATCACCCATGCCCTCTCACTTGTGACTGTATGACTGTAACTTTGTTGCTTGTATACTTACAATTTATATTGACTCTTTCCTAGTATGATTGATTGCTATTGTACCCTATGACTATCATTAAGTGTCATACTTTATGATTCTCGACTGCTGACGAATGTATCTTTTCTTTTATGTACACTGAGAGCATGTGCACTAAGACAAATTCCTTGTGTGTCCAGTCACACTTGGCCAATAAAGTATTCTATTCTATTCATAAATAAATAAATAAATAAATAAAAATAAAAAAACTTATTTCTTTGCTCAGAAAAAAACTGGAACTGAATTTCCATCCCAGTTAAAAGTATCAAGAAACTGATTTGGGGTTGAGGCTTTCTTGGCTGCAGATTCCAAAAGAGCTCACTTTTTTTACTCTTATTGATCATTCTTCAGGATCTTTGAATAGCTTACATACAGTCAGAAAACTGGTGGCCTGGAAGATATGACACCAAAAGAAAAGAAAAAAAGCAAGGAGTAGGACTGGGTGAAGAGCAAACCTCGGTACTAATTATTAAATAGTATTGCTTAAAAGGTTAGTTAAGAGGTCAGAGTAAAGATGAAAAGAAAGGCTGAGAAATTGGTCTTCAGGCATTGCTGACGATGGGGTGGCTCTACGCCTCGTCTCTTTCCCAGAGATGCAAGGAAAAAAGGGATTGAGGCCTACATTTCTGCACCTACTTTTTCTAGGCCTTTCTCGGGAAGCCCCAAGTGTGGTGTTGCACTGACGCTGCTCTCCTGTTTCCTTTTCCTAGCTGACCAGGTATACGGTGACCAAGACATGCATGAAGTGGTCAGGAAGCACTGCATGGACTACTTGGTGAGTGAGAGCGGGAGTGCTGTGGAGGGCAGATTTCCACCGCCATCTCTGAGTCTGACATTCAGGACTGCAGCTGTCAGGCATCCTGGCAAGAACCAGGGCAGATCAGGTTAGGCTCCTGGGCAGCTGTCTCTGGAAAAAGTGCCTCTTTCCTGCAGAGGAATTTCTCTGAAACCTGAAGCTCTGTATCTGCTATTACACTCATCAGTTATCCAGACAGTGAAAAAAAGGCCTCCCGTTTTTTTGTTTTTTTTGTTTGTTAAATTTGCGTCTGCAACGCATAGCCGCATTTCACTGTTAAGAACAAACCCAAAGCATTCCTGTCCCCCCCCCACTCCACCCCCACCCCCCAATTTGCTAGCACAGATCAAAAGGTGTCAAGACTAAATTTCGGTATTAAGCAGCTGCTTCTGAAGGTTGGGGTTCAGGCAGAGCCATCTGTAAATGGCTTCCAAGCGATAGGGGCAGCCCTGGCCTTGCACAATCTCATCGAAAGGGAAACGATTCTGCAAAATTCCTTTGGGTATGCGGGAGGAGAAGCTGCTTCCCTCCCCCCCCCCCCCCCCCCCCAGGAATCCCCATGTCCCGGGGTTAATTCGTTGTTACAGGTGGCCTTGTTCAAACATGACTCCCACTGTTTGAGCTCCAGTGATCGGGGAGCCAAGGGAGCCCTTTTTTTCACTGACTGGATAAAGCGTCAAGGATTTATATTGCAAGACCACCTTTGGTCACTTATTGTCCTCCTCTTGCTTCTTTTGCCCACCTGGGAGTCTGTCTGCTTCCCTCTCATCTTGAGGCCATCTCTCATTTCAGATGAAGAATGCCGACTACTTCTCCAATTATGTGACAGAAGATTTCACCACTTACATTAACCGCAAACGGAAAAACAACTGTCATGGCAACCATATTGAGATGCAGGCTATGGCAGAGATGTACAACCGACCTGTGGAGGTTTACCAGTATGGCACAGGTATAGGCACCTGTTCCCTGTTTCAGTTGCATCCCTGATTCTTCCATCCGGGCAAGTGGAGTTGTTGGTTCCCTGCCTGTCCTACAGAAGAGCCAAGGTCACCCATCCTGTGCTGCCATTTTTCCCTTCCAGAGCCCATCAATACTTTCCATGGCATCCATCAGAATGAGGATGAACCCATCCGGGTGAGCTATCACCGCAACATACATTACAACTCCGTGGTGAACCCCAACAAGGCCACCATTGGGGTGGGACTAGGGCTGCCCTCCTTCAAGCCAGGGGTGAGTTTTTCCTGGTCGACATCTGGGGGGAGGCTTTTTAGGATGGGCAAAAGGTTGGTGACCAATGTCCTGTTCCATTCTCGTTCTTCATGAGCTGGACTATTATTAGCTTCACGATTATCCAGGATAATAGCCAGGAACGTGGCCACAGCCTGGCTTTGGAAAATTGGGGCAAAGAGAATTTTATAACTGTTATAAGTTACAAGAAACTTGCATAGTGTGTTTTGTGAACACAACTTTCCAATATGGACACACAACATTGGGAGGGGATATTCTAAGATCTGTGTTTGGCTTTTGCAGCTGCATTCCAAAAACGGGCATGTCTAACATAAATAGCTGGACCCTAGGCAAATTCTCATTTTGATTGAACTTTAACTTAATTCAAGTCCTTAACTACGGCTATCATATAATTATTTTCCTTGTAATCATTATGTTACTATTTTCCCTTTCTGCCTCATTCAAAAATACACTGCTCAAAAAAATAAAGGGAACACTTAAACAACACAATGTAACTCCAAGTCAATCACACTTCTGTGAAATCAAACTGTCCACTTAGGTAGCAACACTGATTGACAATCAATTTCACATGCTGTTGTGCAAATGGAATAGACAACAGGTGGAAAGCATAGGCAGTTAGCAAGACATCCCCAATAAAGGAGTGGTTCTGCAGGTGGTGACTACAGACCACTTCTCAGTTCCTATGCTTTCTGGCTGATGGTTTGGTCACTTTTGAATGCTGGCGGTGCTTTCACTCTAGTGGTAGCATGAGATGGAGTCTACAACCCACACAAGTGGCTCAGGTAGTGCAGCTCATCCAGGATGGCACATCAATGCGAGCTGTGGCAAGAAGGTTTGCTGTGTCTGTTAGCGTAGTGTCCAGAGCATGGAGGCACTTCCAGGAGACAGGCCAGTATATCAGGAGACATGGAGGAGGCCATAGGAGGGCAACAACCCAGCATCAGGACCACTACCTCCACCTTTGTGCAAGGAGGGACAGGAGGAGCACTGCCAGAGCCCTGCAAAATGACCTCCAGCGGGCCACAAATGTGCCTGTGGCTGCTCAAACGGTCATAAACAGACTCCATGAGGGTGGTATGAGGGCCCGACGTCCACAGGTGGGGGTTGTGCTTACAGCCCAACACCGTGCAGGATGTTTGGCATTTGCCAGAGAATACCAAGATTGGCAAATTCACCACTGGCGCCCTGTGCTCTTCACAGATGAAAGCAGGTTCACACTGAGCACATGTGACAGACGTGACAGGGTCTGGAGATGCTGTGGAGAACGTTCTGCCTGCAACATCCTCCAGCATGACCGGTTTGGCAGTGGGTCAGTAATGGTGTGGGGTGGCATTTCTTTAGGGAGCCGCACAGCCCTCCATGTGCTCGCCAGAGGTGGCCTGACTGCCATTAGGTACCGAGATGAGATCCTCAGATCCCCTGTGAGACCATATGCTGGTGTGGTTGGCCCTGGGTTCCTCCTAATGCAAGACAATGCTAGACCTCATGTGGCTGGAGTGTGTCAGCAGTTCCTGGAAGACGAAAGCATTGATGTTATGGACTGGCCCTCCCGTTCCCCAGACCTGAATCCAACTGAGCACATCTGGGACATCATGTCTCGCTCCATCCACCAGGACTGTCCAGGAGTTGGGGGATGCTTTAGTCCAGGTGTGGGAGGAGATCCCTCAGGAGACCATCCGCCACCTCATCCAGGAGCATGCCCAGGCGTTGTAGGGAGGTCATACAGGCACGTGGAGGCCACACACACTACTGAGCCTCATTTTGATTTGTTTTAAGGACATTACATCAAAGTTGGATCAGCCTGTAGTGTTTTTTCCACTTTAATTTTGAGTGTAACTCCAAATCCAGACCTCCATGGGTTGCTAAATTTGATTTCCATTGATAATTTTTGTGTGAGTTTGTTGTCAGCACATTCAACTATGTAATGAACAAACTATTTAATAAGAATATTTCATTCATTCAGATCTAGGATGTCTTATTTTTGTGTTCCCTGTATTTTTTTGAGCAGTGTATATGTTGACGGCAACATTTGGAGTGAAGGATGCTGGAGAAGAGGACTACCCCCAAAATTTGGGGGAGCTTTAACACACGCACCTCTTTCTCAAAGTATAAAACAGTTGCTCCAATAGAGCTTTGTCACATTTGATAAAAAATAATTTGACCCTACTTTTTCTGTCTTCAAAAATACATTTTAAAACAACAGATAGCTCTTTTTAAGCTGTAGTGCAGTATTTTTCAGCCTTGGCAACTTTAAGATGCGTGGACTTCAACTCCCGGAATTCCACAGCCAGCATGTTCACACATGCATCAGCCAGTCCACACATCTTAAAGTCATCAAGGTTGAGAAACACACACTTCTATAGTGCATAGGTCGGAGGTCCCACATCCTTTAGGGACAAGAGAATCTGTTCAAATCATGGCCTACTATCTCTGTACACTTCTCAAGTAACCACCTGGCCAAGCAGCTCTAGCACATCCTCTCGGCTGGGGAATTCTGGAAATCCACATATCTTCAAGCTGCCATGATAATAGAAAGTTTTCCCGGCCTGGCCCCTCAGCTACTAGGAGACTACCTTTGGTCTCCCTCCTAGTTCTAGCAAAGCAACCATTCTCCAAGGCTGTTTATATATTGTTTACAGTGATTTAACCCATCTCTTCCCTGTGCCGGGGAGAAACTGAGCACCTGTCTGTTGTCTGTTCTCCCTAGGTGACCACCGGGAAAATGCTTCCCATTCTGCCCCAGTGCTGGTATTTGGAGGGATATTCACATTTTGAAGCTTCTCTGTTCAAGAGAGGAAGAGAGAGAAAAAAAAAGGCTTCGGGTTATTGGGACTGCGATGGGCTTGCTAAATCTCCTTTTGCTCCTTGTAGTATGCAGAGCAGTCCTTGATGAAGAATGCCATCAAGACCTCGGAGGAGTCCTGGATCGAGCAGCAGATGCTGGAGGATAAAAAGCGAGCGACTGACTGGGAAGCCACCAATGAGGCCATCGAAGAACAGGTTGCCAGAGAGTCTTATTTGCAGTGGCTGCGTGACCAGGAAAAGCAAGCCAGACAGGTTTGGCTTTCTTTTCTTCGTACAGGGAGGCAAAATAAGAGCTGTCGGGATACCTCGGGGTCCCTGCAGGACTGCGGGCATGGGCATGAGTATAACTAGCCCTTTTTGGCCACGGAAATTTTAAAAAAGGCCCTAGCCCCCTGACGAGCACCCTCGCTCTTCTTCCCTCAGCCCCGCAAAGCCAGCGCTACCTGCAGCTCTGCCACGGCGGCCGCAGCGAGCGGTTTGGAAGAATGGAGTGGCCGTTCCCCACGCCAGCGCAGTTCAGCTTCTTCCCCAGAACATCCCGACCTGCACAATGAGCTGAGTGCTGCCAAGCCCCCTTCTCCTGGAAGCACTGCAGCCCTAGCACTTACCAAACCTCCCTCGCCCTGTGCTCCAGGTGAGTGTTCTGTGGATTGGGGTGTAATGCTGTAAGACAATTCTGTGGATTGGGGTATAACGCTATAAGAGTCACGCTGCCAGACACTGCCCTATAATACTCTCTCTTGTAGCATCTGGGACATTATAGGGCAGTGTCTGGCAGCGTGACTCTTACAGAATCCTTAGGGCCTGGGACTCCCAATTTACAAAAATGTCTGGGATCTCCCTGGGTTACTACATTTTATAAGACTGCAGTATTGTCATGCGATATCCCTAAATTCTTCATACCATAAGTTTTCGGACACTTAATGTTTCTGGCATGAGGCACTCAGACCATTACGTGAAAAGATTGCTAAATGAATTGGGAAGTTGACTTTTCCTTGAGACACAGGTCAGACAAGTGCCAGCACATCATTTCAGTATAACAAAACACCTGAAAGATTTTTGGGGGGAGAAAAAGGCTTCTATGTATTTTTAATTGTCAGCCATAAGACAGGGATGGTTATGCAACATGTCAATTCCTGCCTACATAGGAAGTAGTTGCCCCGGGTTTTCATCCAGGAACCAAGTTACTTGTGCAATAGTATTAAAACCATACTACAGATGCTACTTAACAAACTACAATATATCTTAACTTACAGAGACTGGATCTTCCTTTTGAAGGTGCAAAGGGTGACTGGAAGAGCACTGTGCTTTCTTCCTTCATAGCTTCATCCTTCCCAGCCAGTTTTGAATTCTGACAATGCAGTTCGGAGAAAATAGATGGTAATCTGATTAGAGCAGGGGTGAAGATGAGAGAGCTGATTTTTTTCATGCATTCGGGAACTTGCCAGACACTTTTTAATAGAGCTCTTTGAGAAACTATATTAATGAAAATATAATAGCGTGTTAAAGTCTACACAAACAAAAGTCAGAGATAATGCCCTTTTTGGCCCAAATATCCAATTCTTAAGCACAGATAACTTTAACATAAGATTTAGCTTTGCAGAGTTACAAACTAAAAGAAGGCAATTCAGAAGAGTAGAACAACCCAGAAGACGCAAATAGCTTAATATCTAGTAGTTAGAAAGGAGGGGGTTCCCCCCCCCCCCCAAAGGCAGACCTTCGTAGCCATGTTCTGCTGAAGTGCCATTGTTGGGAAGGGATATCCTAATCAGAATTTTATCTTTGTTTTCTGGCCTAGGGGGTGGCAAAATCAACCACTGCAACCCATCTACCCACAGTTTAAATGGCATCTTGAATGATTCTATTGCAGAGAGAATAGTAAATGGATGATGAAGTTGAGTCATAATTTATGTGTCATGTTTCCACAGAATCCACACTGTTTTTTTAACCCTTGTGCATTACATTAGGATTGGTAGCTACACACACACCCTTTTTTTTTTAAAAAAAGTTGAAATTCTTAGGAATCTTATCTTGCCTCATGGATTGTTTTATCAATGCTAATTTCTGCCTTGCAAAATAGCGACAGACATTTTGCGTTCCCAAGAAATGTAGATCTTTCAGGTGTTACTTTTCAACGGAAAATAATTGTTGGCATTTGTCTAAAGAAAGTTGCACTTATGTAAACTTCCAAGTCTTCAGATAACCGTCTGCAATAGGTCACTCAGTTCTGAATCCTGCAATGCAAAGTTTTCATTTGCAGTTTCCACCTCTCACAGGTACAAGCAGCCAGCTGTCTGCAGGCGGCGGGCGAGTAACCCCACCCTTAGTGTCATTGTATCCAGCCCTGGAGTGCCGGGCAATAATGCAACAGATGTCGCCCACAGCGTTCGGTAAGCGCCCTCATTTTGTCCCGCAGGCATGGCTGGACTCTTGGATTAGCTGGTTTTCAGCTTTCATACCTTTAAAAAGCAATGCCTTCTGGCGCTGAAAGCCATGCCAGTGTTATAGTCCGTCTCTTTAGTTTCACTCTACAGAACCTCACATGTTAAAATGCTCCCAACATTTGATCCTTAATCTTGTGGACTGGATGTAAAGGTTTAAACTGCTCTACAAAACAGCTGGCTTTTACACAAGGCGATGTTGTCTAGTAGCTGCGGCCACACAGGTGTCCAGGGCAACCAGATCTTCATATTTATTTATCCACAGCGCGATGATGATCATTTGTCTGTTTGTTTTTCTTTTTGGTATAGGAAAAAAAGAATATAGTCAAAATAAGGGCGTTGTAATTTCCATTAGAGCATCACGCTTGTTTTTAGAATTTACCCAATTAAAAAAATGGGAAGGCTGGGAATCTCGCCCAAATTCAGCAGCACAGGGTCCACATGGGCTCTGTAGAAATGCACCTGGGAAAGCCACAAGTGGTTAAGCGTGCAAGGTCTCCGCAGCCCCGTTCAGAGCATTACATGGGCTGGTGGGAATGGACTTGTGGCAGGGGAATTAAACTGGCTCTGGGTGTGAAAGAGGATGGTGGCCAGGAGAATCAAGAGAACGGGTGACGTGGGCAGTGTACAAAGCAGGATTGGAAGAAGCACACAGTTTTTCCCATCCTTGAGCACTGACTGTGCCGGTAGAGGCAGAGCCGAGCTTATTCGATAGACACGATTCCCTCATTCTGCTCTCTCCCCTCCTTTGACTGTCTTTGGCCAGGTCTGAGCGACTGGGATGACGATGAGATCCTGGCCTCGGTGCTGGCCGTTTCGCAACAGGAGTACTTGGAAAGCATGAAGAAAGGCGCCCTGCACAGAGACAGTGGTTCCGACAAGAGTTGATGCCTGATGTCCGGCTCTTGCGCTCGCCTGACACCCCTTCGGTGCATGTTTTTGGCAGGAAGGATGATGACACTTGGGACCCCTCCCCTCCTCCACCGCTGCTGATCAAGGCTCCTTCCGTTGCCCCTTTGCTCTCCCCACTTTTGGCTCTCCGCAGAAGACTCTCCCCTCTGGTGTGCTGGGAAACAGACAGGCGCAAGAGAGGGACAGGATCTCTTCCACAAGGAGCTGAAACACTCACAGACTGGGGCATGCTGGGCTTCCCCTTCATCTGCCGTTTTTCGTTATTAAAAAAAAAAAAAGAAAGAAACAGGAATTGAACTGGTCCTCAAGAGAGCCCCCTTCCCTTGGATTGGAGAGGTAGAGCTTTGCCTGCGGGTGATGGAGGGGGGGGAGAGAGAAGGGGAGGAGAACGGACGTTGGCTTTAGGGGTGTGGAGAGAGAGAGAGAGAGAGAGCCTCACTAGAAGGAAAATGCCACTGTACGGCCTGCTGGTTTCCCTCACCCTGGAGGCTGCGGGGGGAATCGTGTACTTTGGGGGCAAGGAGAAGAGGAGCTGATAGGACACCACTTTTTTTTTTTTTTTTGCTCTTTCAGCCACATTCCCTGCCCTGAGGGAAAAACATTTTCAGCAAAGCGGGTCCTAAATCTGCAGCCATTTGAAATCATTCTGCCTTCCTCCAAAGAAAACTCCCCCCTCCCTCTTACCTGTAAGATGCTGTCCCTCCTTTTTCACTCAGTGCAATAGCCTCTCTTTTCTCTTCCCACCCACCTCTTTTTTTTTTTTCCTTTTCTTTTTTTCTTCACTTGTGGCTCTTGACCACCCGGCAGGCATCCCCTCTTCCACCCTTGCCAATGGGTTGGTCCAGCTCTCTGGTCTAGCTGCTCTCCTGGCTCTGCTCCGTTGGCCTTGGTCCCTCCTGCTGCTGCCTTTTCGATTCTCCCTGTGCCTATAGCAGCAGCAGCAGAGGGAGAGGGGGGCACCGCTCACCAGTCAGTGTCAGGACCTTTCCCCCCTGAGCAGGTCTGCCTTTAGGGTAACGCTGAGAGGAAAAGAAACTGGGAACCAAATGGACTCTGGACAGAAAATAACGCGATGGAGGCTGCAGCTAACATGGAGGCGCACCAAGCTCTCCGGGGGGCAAAAATAGACTTTGACTCCCCTACTAAGGGCTGGTTCAAACTGGGGGGCATCTCCTGGGTCCTGGACTGTTGATGGACTGGCTTGAAAGTTTAAAACGAAACGAAACGAAAAAGCCAAGGAAGGAAGTGTTTCTGGTAATCTTACCTTTTCCAGGGGTGGTTGTCTTCCTCACTACATATGTAGTTATAATCTACCTATTGTGGCCATTTAGCTGTCCAAGCCTTGGTCTGAACAAGTGTTTCTTTACACTCAGATGTAAAGAAGCCATGTGCTCAGCTCCTCTTGGCGTCTTCATGCTGAGTCCCAAATTCCTGGAGGGACAGGAGAGACGCTGACATTCCTGCCCCCCCATTTGTTGCTCTCTGACGCTTCAAAGAGACATCTTTGAAAAGTGGGGAGGGGAGTCATCTGCTGCTTTAGAAGATGGATCCTGGAGACTCCACGGATGGCTGGTCTAAAAGTGGTATTTGGTGCCTGAAATAAAAATATAGGCAGAGTTGACCTCCTGCACGCTCTTTTCTCTCTCATTGTTTTTTTCTTCTTCGATTTTTTTCCTTGTGCACCATGGATGATGAGCTTCTCTGCATTGGAGGAGGGGGAAGGAGGAACTGAATTTGGAAAAGATGAGATGGGTGCTCTTACAGTCTACAACAGGGGTGTCAAACTCATGGCGGTGTCACGTGACGTATCGGGACCTTTCTCCCCTCCCTTTGCTAAACCGGGCGTGGGTGTGGCCAGCGTGTGAGGCATCTGGCCCGCAGGCCGGGAGTTTGACAGCCCTGGTCTACAAGAAGCAAATATTTATGCTGCTATTTCTCAAATGCTCAGTTGAGTTTTCTGCTTCCCAGAAACCTATTCTGTTGCCAATGAGGGGTTATGTTTGGTTGATGAGTCTGGTTGAAAAAGCACCATTTGACAATGAGTCTGGTGCTTTTCTAGGGACCCTCGATGGACAGTTCTTTAAGTCCACCCAAGTAGAAACAATGGGGAAGCCATTGTTTACCTGCTGAAATGAAAATACCACGTGGCTCTCTCTCCCTCCATTGGGTCATGTGCTCCACCCAAGGACTGCCCATCCAGTAATGAAGGTCCCATGATCAAAAACACACTTTCTGTGAGATCAGTGTCAGCAGAAGCGAATCGTGTGCATATGACTTTGATCTAATAGAACCAATCAAATGGTTTTGAGATGCATTCAATGGAGGATATCCATGCTCAGTACCATTAGTCCTTGTTCCTTTGCAACAAATTGAGATCCTAAGCAGCACGATAGACTTGAAGGTGGACACTGAAAGCCATCTTTGCATGCAGGATTTCAGTCTCTACCAGGGAGGAAAAGACAAATCTCATCTCCTGTTGATCTGTTGTTTGCATCTGGGCCTAATTCCTTGCCTGCCCTCTTGGTCACCTAACAGGCTGCTGCTTGTCTCTTGATGAGATCTTGAAGGTTTCTATGACCTGCTCTGCTATCACCTCTGAGGGAGGACAGGTTTTTAATTGACATGTGGCAGCCGGGGATTGGTATTTCCTTTTCCATGTTTGTGTATTGAACTGGGGGGATAGCTGATAAGTAGCAGTCAATCTCCTCTCTGCTAATGCCAATCCCTTCTCAACTCTGATTGTAAAAACTCTGATAGATTTGAGGGCACTACATCAGTGCAACTGCTTAAGTTGTCCAGAGTTGGAGAAACCTGGTCTGATAGTCACAATCTACTTTTACCAGAAAGTATTAAGAGAGAAACCATAATAACAAAGTGGTAGGTTTGAAGCCACTTTCCGCTGGCTTTTTGTCACATCAAGCCCAAGCTGCGGCCAAAAAGAGGAATTATTTGGAAGTAGTACTGGAGCTGTTGAAACTAAGAATGAAAGAGCTGTGTTGGGTCAGGGCTCGAAATAAGCCCTGTTGCTTTCCAGTGAGGCAGGAGCAATTTTGGTCAATGAAAAGTGATTTTGAATTATTTTGGCTTCCAAATATAAATGCAGTTATAGTGATGGGATGATAAGAGTTGTAGCCCAATGTTTTTGGAGCATACCACAGGCAGGCAGATGGAGAGTTAACATGCTAAGGATGTATGTTGGACTGATCCATATTTGGACCAGAAAGAAACCCAGGCATGCCAAGATGACAGAATAAACAGCCCTTTCAATATGCCTTGGCTGCTGTGTTGAGGGAAATGCTTCCCTGTAAATAACTACAAGCAGAAAACCAACAAAAGAGGAAGTGGGCAGAAATCATTTATCTGACTGCTAGTTACTTCTTACATTGTTTGCATGAAGCTTAGTAAATAGAAAAGCAATAAAAATAATACCCGGATGGTACCAGTTCCTGTTGCATCTTATAGATCAGACAGCATGATGTCAGATGTAAAATACTTGATAAGTTAGATTATCCTGGGTGATTCCCCCCCTCCCCATATCTATGCTTTTCTCTGCTTTAAAATACAAAGTCCCCAGGAGATCTATATATTTCAGTGATGTAGGTGTTGCTAGTACATTATCCTACCTCACTTTTCTGAGTCTGGTACTTTCTACCATTTGCGGAGGGTTTGTACTGCAACTTGGTTCGCAGAGATCCTTTTTTGAGGGGGCAGGGGATCCTGTAATGTATGTCCCCTGACACTCCTTTTGACATCTCAGGAGATATTAGACGAAGATGCCGCTGCTTCCAACATTGGAATAATTCAGAAATAAGCAAAGTGGAGTGAGGATGGTAGCCACGTTCTATTCATGTCTAAGGACATTGGGGGCGGGGGAAGAGGAAAGAGATCAGTGCTTCCAAGATCTGGGTAAATCATAATTGAGTAAAAGTGGTTTTCTTTGGTGACAACAAACAAACATGTCACAACAAGGATATTTAAATTGGTTTAAAGACTGACATGCATACTAAAAAAAATATTTGAAAATCTCCCAAAGTATTCCTATTAAGACAAAAACCAATGAATTTACCAATGGTAATTTGTTGAAATGACATCAAGATCACTCAAAGATGTGTTCTGGTAATAAAGGGAATCCTAGTTCCAACGGTCTACTCAACTGCTGAAGTTACAGTGGTGCTGAAGGAAGGGACATATGATTGTTCCTCAAAGACTTTCTGATAAATGGTTTCGAGTAAAAAGTTTGGAAACCACTGACTTAGGCAGTTCCTAGGAAGGAAATGGAAACTTATAGTGCTGCTACTGATGTGACAGCATCAGTCTTGTTCAATCCAATGCTGGCTATATTTGTGCAGTTCACTGAACCAGAAACTTGCCAGCCACATTTTAGCATAGTATATTATATAAACCTAGTCCATGTGATTAAAGTTCAGTAGGTTGGATGAATACCCAAAAGTACATGAATGCCATTAATGGATCAACTCCACCTCTCCCATAAGTTATGACTGCTGACCTGAGATTACTTCCCCAACAATACCTATTTGGAGGCCCAAGGAACACCTTTTGGTAGATGCTAAGAGCTGGATTTCCAGTTGTAGATCAAACTTTATTTAACTGACCTGGCATCAATTTTGCTTTGAGAAGAAGGTTATAACTATTGAATGTAACAGACAGCAAGAAGATACTAGGATAATACTCTGACTAGACCAACTTGCTAGGTTTTAAGAAGTGAGCCTTTTAAGACTCCGATCAGTCCATTGGATATTCTTCATCAATGTGGTCATTTCCCATAATTCCCAACCATCAGTGATATAAAATAATCTGGAGGACACATCTTAGGGAAGGAGGGCATATCCAAGATTTATACTACACCTGGGAAAAACATTTCCCTCCCTACAAGGCTGGACTGAAATAAAAGTGTAAGGTAACCTGAGCTACATCTTTCCTTTTAAATTGATGCTATAAATTAAAATTAAGTGATGTTTTCCCCTTTATGTGGCCTTTTCTATAAAAAAAATAATGGCAATTTAGACCATTTTTAAGGTACTTTGTGGGCGCTACTCAAAGCTTTGGAAGGGGTTCTTCTGTGCCTTAAGGTTGGGTCGTTTGTACTGTCCTCAACCTTTCTTGGCATCTCAAAGAAGGCCTTTATGCAGACATGGCAGTCTGGGTGGTAGTAAACACAGAATCCTCCCTTTATTGCATCCCAGTCCATGCAGCTAAACCAAAACCAGTAAATCACAAGATAATTTAGCACAGGGGTCTCCAGCCTTGGCCTCTTTTAAGACTTGTGGACTTCAACTCCCAGAATTCCTCAGCCAGCAAAGTGGCCAAGGTTAGAGACCCCTGATTTAGCGCAAATTGTGAACCAGGTAGTTACCATCAATTAGCTGACTCTTTAAGAAGTGCTGCTCCTGTCACGGAAGGACACAGCTGTTCTCCTGCTGTGGATAGGCCTGGACTGAGCACAGCATGTTAAAACCCACCCACCCACCCCAACATGAATAAGAGCAAAGTCAGTTCAAGGAGTAGTTGTGAATCAGTACCCAACTAGTGGAAGGGAATGTTGAGGCCAGAGCAGACGCAGCAAAGGTTCCACATGTGTCTCTCAGCAAGACCTCCTGCCTCAGTCAGAAACTAATCCTCAGCTGGGACCTTGTTCTTCAGACTTGGCTACCCACAGGTGCAACCAAATGACTCCAATGCAAGGAATCCTGTTGGGCTTGCTTTGCAGCAGGACCCACACAGAGAAGCAATGGGTCCTTCCCGAGCCTTTTCCTCATGCCTTCCATCCACCCCAGGAAAAAGACAGTCAGGATTGAGTAACTTGGTCTTTGGACCCACAGCTGTGGGTCTTGCCCAGAAAATGTCAAGCAAGGAATTTTCAACAGGTATGAGGAATTGGTTTCCCTCCTGCTCTCGCCGCTGAAGTGGAAAGAAAGACTGAGGCTACAACTCCAAACTGACCTCTTTTTTCCCCAGAGCTTATTTTTTTTGTGACTGGAGATTTTCCTCCATTTCTCTCTCAGGGTTGTCTGAGGCATTAATCTATATGGGGCCAGTCTGCCTTTGCATCCAGTGATTTAAATTTCTTTTTAAATCACTGAAGCTTGCAAAGTAAGCTTTTGTTCCTCAACCCTAATAGCGTTTGAAAGATGCTGATGGCGGTAGTGATAAAAATAGGATCAAAGTGGTGATATTGTTTACATGAACAAGGGTTAGATTTGTCTAAGAGCTGTCACAGCGACATTGCTGCTGGCTGGGGAATTCTGGGAGTTGAAGTGCACACATCTTAACAGTTGCTAAGGTTGAGAAACACTGGACTAGGCAGTATTTGGCAAGCAAAAGGTGCTTGAGGGCACAGGCAATTTTGGCACACAACTCAAAAAAAAAACAAAATACAAGACTTCAGCATCAAATTAATTTCAACCCAGAAATTTAAAAAAACAAACAAGCCAAAAGTTTGTATCTGCATGAGTTTATAGAGATTAGTTGTGGCAGATAAAGAGTAAAGAACAAGAGGATATAAATCACCCAGAATTTCTGGGTGTTGGGTAGCATAGAAATTTTAAATCGTTGTTATGTCAGGTAGTATGGCTAGATTCACACACCCACTTTAATCTGATGTAGATTGAACATGT